ATAGATATAGTTTATAAAATACTTTCACTTAACAACAAAAAATACTTTTACTTAAATCTCATTTCATTCTTACCACATTAAGTGTGTGGTTTTTATTAAACCTATCTTTTGCTTCTGTACTTTATCACAGCTGCCAAAAAAATTAGTGTCAGAGAGATAGGAAGTTCATTAAAAGAATTATATAGTAGGTAGTAAGTCATGGACTTGGCTCCAAGTGATATACTGATTGGCAGAGGGATAGCAGGAACTCTGCTAGGAGTGGTATATGCAGTAATTCCATTTGTTGCTCCCTGTTCTTTTCTGTCCTTTAGCAAGTGACTTCCCAGGCTACAGCCAAGACTCGTTCTCCCCAGTTTGCTGTGGGCAACTTTCAAACTCCGTCCTCTTTCAGTCCCATGTCTCTCCCTGGTGCTTCTACTACATCACCTGGTGCTGCTGCCTACCCTAGTCTCACGAACCATGGGTCTGCCTTTGGTGAGTTCAGATGACAAGAGGGTAACAGGGAGATCACACCACTAAAAAAAGGATTTGGCAGTTAAAATTGTTTGCCTGTGTCTTGGGTGCATCAGCCTATTTGAGGGAAAATGCAAATGTCTTGTCTGGAAGGTAAAGGTCTGTTGGAAATTTCAAAGCTACCTATGTGAAAAGAACATATATCCACAAGCATGTTATTATAAATTTAATAAATGTGGATGAAATACAAATGGTCATTAGGCTCTTTGGAAAGACTGCCTACAGAAGAAAAATTCATTTGAGACTGAGTTTTGAAAAAGGATAGAAGGTAAAATTAATAGCTTTCATGTAGTTGTGTATGAGTTTCTTCTCTCCAGTGGAGTTAGTAAATTGAAGTTGTTTATTCTTATTCTTCCTTGTTGTATTTCTAGCTCCTGAGACTGGACAGACTGCAGGACAATTCCAGACAAGGACAGCAGAGGGTGTGAGTGTCTGGCCACAGTGGCAGGGCCAGCAGCCTCATCACCGTTCCAGTTCCAGTGAGCCACATGTTCAGCAGCCATCGGCACAGCAACCTGGCCAGCCTGAGGTCTTCCAGGTTAGGAAGAAAGAACTTCAGAAAGTCACAACCTGGGAGAGAAGGGGGCAGAGAGGAGAAACAGAATTAAGAATGCGCAGATTGATGTGTTTTGTTGATAGTAGACAGAAGGTAGACATGGAGTAATAAAGATCACTGATTGGAAATATGATAAACTTAGTGTGATACACAGCTTTCAGCCACACCAAACAAAACTAGTGATTTGAATCTAACACCATACAAAGGTAACAAAGCATGTTATTTTAGCCTATTCCCACATTGAGAGTAGCTCTGGATACAAAATAGGTAGGACCTATACAAGTCCTGAGGGACTGCTAGAGTAAATGCAGTAACATTAGGCAGGCAAAGAAAGCTAGTTTGAGGGACTGATAAAACAAAGGCAAAACAGTTGTTGATGGAAAACAAAACAGGATAAAATATTATTCATCATAAAAAAAAGATTATTCATCATAAATTTACAGGAAATTATATTAAATGTGGGAAGCAAAATTCTTTCTCTTATTCAAAATACTGCACACTGAAAAAGGAAGCACGTCAGGAATGTGGGAGGAAGACAGAAGCTAGGACAAAGGTGCCGTCTAAAGGAGTTCGGTAGTGGAAAGAAGAGCTCAGCACAGCCGAGATTCTTTGGGGTCATAAACTATGGGACATGGGAGCTTTGGGAGGGAACTACAGTAAATGTAAGGATTCAAGTTGTGTGACCTAAACTTCCTCCTTTTTTCTTATTAGGAGATGCTATCCATGCTGGGAGACCAGAGCAACAGCTACAACAATGAAGATCAATTTCCTGATTTAACTATGTTTCCCTCGTTTTCAGAATAGAACTATTGGGGTGAGGATAAGGGGGTGGGGGAGAAAAATCACTATTTGTTTTAAAAAGCAAATCTTTTCTGTAAACAGAATAAAAGTTCCTCTCCCTTCCCTTCCCTCACCCCTAATATGTACCCCTTTTCCTTTCTGGCCTTTCCTAACCCTCCTGCCTCTCTGAGAGAACATTTATATATGCTGTGGAATGAATTCCCAGACTTTTGGGACCCTTCAAAAAAATTGAGGCTGGATAATGTAAAGGATACTTTTCCTCATGCCTCTTGACCAGTGTTTTGTGCAGAGATAATTTGTGCTATGATCACAGGTTAGGGTGATAGGTAAGAGGAACCTGAACACCCACTATTTGCCTTAGATACCATGGCATGTTTTTGGAAAGAAACAAAATAGGATGAAGGAGAAGAGAATTGTCCTCATATTTGAGGATCATGAAACACGGTAGATAAATATGGGATTTAGGAAGTGAGCATAGGCTCTTTCTGCTGCCTATGAGCAGTTCCTCTGGAAAGAAATTTGTGTTAGGGAAGGAGAAACAGTGTGTGAAAGGGGTATGTGTGTGTGAGAGAAGTGTGTATGTGTATGGATGTATTTCTTCCTTTTCTCCCTGTTAGGGAGTTATGCAAAATTTGTCCCAGAGTTTTATCTTTTGTCTTTTTGTGTGTTTTTTAAAGAGTCCTAAGGAGTTAACGCTCCCAGGTATTTCCACTTAGTATTGCAGCCAAAGAGCGTTAAAACTAAATGTCTTTGCTGCACTCACATCTATGCCCAGATAATAAGTAACTGTGAGCAAATGTATAAAGTCTTCTGTTTCTATGGTTGGTATCTCATCAAACTGGGTCATCCCTGCTTTTGGTGCTCTCACTGTGTACGGAAGATCTGCAAACATTACAGAAAGGAGCTGGCAAGATAAACACTTTGAGAAATCCTGGATGTGGCCATAAAGATAATGCTGCATTTTCTATCAGAATCACATATAATGTGTGTTCTGTAGAGCTTATTTCTGCATGGAAACTCAACTTCTTGGATGAATAATATGAGTAAAAAATTTCACTGTTGGGATGTAAACCAAATACCAAGCCCTCTTGCAAAATAGCTTCTTTTCATCCCATCCTCAGTATTTAGTCTGACAAGAAATGGAGATTTAGGTCTCATGCACCTGTAATTCTTTTCCTCTTTGCTCTCCCTCCAGTCTTCAGAGGGTACAATGGATTCATGTGATCACTGGGCCTGGCCTATCATCCCAACAGGCTCCCTTAGTAATTAATTATAGCCATATAAATGCAGATACAGGTTACTATCACCCTTTACCTTCCTCAGGTAACAATTATGTGTAACAGCCTTTTTTTTAAGTTGGTTTAGGCTAATATCTTAAGTGCAAAGCTGAATTAATAGAAGACATTTTAATGTAGCCATAGGGGACTGAAGAGCACAGGCGGCCTTGGAGAGGCGAAGGGAAGGTCATTTACTGAGGTTTCCCTCCCTTTTGTCTCCAGTCTGGTGCCAGGTAATGGAGTCAAAGTGGGGACAGTTTATTTTTTTATTCTATATGCACACATACAGTATACATATATATATTTATACCACAGTTGAAGAAACCAAAAAGTTGAGTTTCCAATGGAATCTTGTTTTTTAATAATCGACTGTTTTTAAATGTGATCAAGACTATAATGTACAGTTATTATGGGGTTTTGGGGAAGGGGAGGGGAGGGAGAAGATGCTCTGGGGGTTTTGTTTCTGCTCTTCCTTCAGGGTTTTATTTTTGATTTGTTTTCTTGTTGGCCATTTCTGTACTGCTGGCATCTGTGCTAAGCCTTACAGTGGCAAAAATAATGACATGTAGCAAAGATTTTAAAACAAAATATTTTTTCCTTTTGTAAAGTTTCTTGTGTTGTGTGATCTTGATTGCGGCTTATCATTCCTTTCCAGTTCCTAAACAACAAACACCCACATCTAGACAGATTCAAACAAAAATAAAGCACAGTGTGACTATCATTTCAGGAATCAGAAATCACAGGGCTTTGATCACTCAGCATCTTCCCTGTCAGTCTCCTCCTGATCATGACACATCTGAGTAAAATCATAAAATCAGAAGAGACCTTCTGACCAGAGGGGAATTGCCCAAGTCCTTGGGAGAGGGGCAAGAGCTGGGGTTTGAGATCATAAAGGCATCTCTGGGTGCCTTCTCCTAGAATGTTCTTTGAACTAAAAGGAGTTCAGAGTGGGGAACTTTAAGCCGTTTAGGTCTGGACCAGATTTCCCTTGAAGACCTTGTGATCAATTAGCATATATTACAAATCATATACATGCCTATGATTTTAAAAATCATGGATATTTCTAGGCAACTGAACTAGAAATGGAATTTAGAACCAAGTGTATTATCTGCTCTATACCTAGGAGTATCTTTTCCTCCTACTTGTATTAATAGAATAAAGTGTGGTTTGGACACTGAGCTAGTCTCCCATGATCTGTCACATGCCTGGATATTGGGGGAAGTGTTTGGAGAAGCTCATGTGACTAAACCCAGAGTAGGGATTTTAATAATTGAGACACAAAATGTTCATTAGGCATTCCACCATCTAAGAGTTTTAACCACAAAGGGTCACATGCAAGCCCGCCAGTGCTAATAGTAACCCAGAAGTGGATTTTGTTTTAGAACTGATTTTATCCAGACTTTCTGACACGGAATGTCCTTTTACAGCAAAGCTACCAGGCTACGTAGAAGCAATGACAATTTTCAGCCATCAGTTATAAATTATTTTAGAACCTGTAGCTTGCCTTTCATTACTCCTTCCCAGGCTTTTGTTTTTATTTCCTCATCTTTGAGATGCAGATTAGAGAGAATTTTGAAGACAGGCTTCAAAGTTGGTAGGATGGACAATAACAATTATTCTAAAACAGAAGCATGAGGAAGATGAGCCCTGTGCTGTTTTCCCTTTTACCCACCAAGAAGGTAAGCCCTGGCCTGAGCAGTGTGTTTTGAGATCTTGTTTGCTGCTAAGTACAGGCCAGTGGAACCCAGCTGATCTTTACCCATTTGCAAATCCACTCCCTCTTCCCCCTTTCCTAACCTTGTCAGCTTTTCTATCCCCGCCTCCCTTGTCTATCCAACTTTTCCAGCCGACTGCTGGAGCTGACTTCCGCAATCCTGATTGAATAAATCTAGCACCCCTAGTCCTACGCCCACATTAGAACCACACTTCCCTGCCGAAACCAGCCCAGAGAACAGATCCCCATTACCAGGTAATACTTTTCAACTTCCCAAATCTAATTGCTTATTGCTGCCAGTTTTCCATTTTAGGACTACTAGAGACGGAATGGCATGAGGATCAAAATGGACTTTGCTCTGTGGGTGAAAATAGATGCCCTTCTTAGGTTATTTCCTTGCTGGGGGAAAAAAAATCTGTCTGAAAATCTTTAGTATTCCTTGGTTTCTGTGTATGCATGAATGGTCTGTAAAAGCAGAAGATTTAGGAAATCTTTCACCCATCCCTTATGAATGTACTTTGTATAGTTTTCTGTCTTAGCCGAAAGGGTTAACTCACTAATAGGAAGGAGGGTGCAGGGGACGGATATCTGTCACAGTGCTTCCTACTCTTTGTGACATTTCAGAGCCCCTAATGCTCCCATAACTGAATGCCCAGAGCTGAGTTGGTTTGCAATAATTACACAAAAATACAAGTTCAGAAATTAACAAGCTGTTAAGACTCCAGATTGTAAACTTTTCTTAAAATAGAGGAAATGCATTTAAAAATCACTGCAAGAAATGAGAAAAACAAGAATGAAATGGGGGGTTTTGGGGGGATTTTTGGTTTTAAGAATGAAAAGTTTTGAATATCATAAAATACTGTTGTTTTCTTTTAATCTCTTCATTTTTTGTCAAAGCTCAGTTCTGAGGCTTTTTGTCCTGTGAGGCAACCACAGAAATTTTGTTGCTAGGAAAAAAGGAAAACCTCCCTGCCCACAGCAGCTGGTTGAGATTAAGGCTGCTTCCTGCCTACAGGGGAGGGAGAAGAGAAAAGAGGAAGACATACTTAAGCGAACAAGGAGTTAAGATAGTAAACAGAAAACGGGAAATATTCTCAACATTTATCTTGTCAAAACCTTGAATAGGAGCCTAAGAAATACAAACTAGAGTCAGGAGAAAAATTAATGCCTTCAAGAAATGGTCAGCAAAATTTGGCTGGAAACTATACTGCTACACCTTGCCTTGACCCTGTTGATACCCTCCTCCAAGCTTGCTGGGAACACCAGCAAAGACAAATACCAGCTCCATTCTGCGTGTCCAGTTTTGGCCCCATTTCTGGTGTTAGTTCAGGTGTCTGTTGATTGGACCTTTATAGATCAGAATTCTTGGAACCAAATGTGTTAGTACCCTAACTAAACCCAGGTTGCTCCTGTCTGTCAATATGAAAATTACCCACACTTTTGCCTAGTATAGAATCTAGGTTCTTCATTGCAGAGAGGAAGGTGTTCTACAGGTTCATGACCCTCCCCCATCCCGGATCATTGTGTATGTATGCAATTACCTGATGAAAGATTTTATTGGCTTCTCAAAGGAGTCTAAACCCACAAAGGTTCCTAGTCATCTGACTGGGAGTATGGCTTCAGATAGTTTGTTCATCTCAAGACAAGTTGTGAACTTCTTCCCTTCATTGTCCCTTCCCCCAGGATGTGGGGGCTCAAAGTTCTCCTGCTGCCCATGGTAAGCTTTGCTCTGTACCCTGAGGAGATACTGGACACCCAGTGGGAGCTATGGAAGAAGACCTACGGGAAGCAGTATAATAGCCAGGTGCCCTGGGACCTAGAGGGAAACATGGTGGGAGGGTTTGACCTGAGACTTTGCTAGTCCTTTTCTAACTTCAGGCTCTCTTCAATCTAAAAACCTTAACCACTTTAGGCAAGTATGCCACTATTCTTTAACTCTTAACATACAGTTTTCATTTTCATACTGCAACTCCCTATAAAACTCCGTCTTTGCTTTATATATTTATTGCCCTCCGTTTCTCTTTTGGGATACCTTCTCAGAGTAATGCTATTCATTTGTAATCAAGTTTTCTACAATCTCCCCCTAACTTTACATTCTATTGTTTGTTTATATGCTTTAATCATTAGAAATACTCTATGTTGAAAATTTTCTTAGACAACTAGGTCCTCATTTATCAAGCTCCATATTTTCTCAGCATCAGCTGCACTCTGTATATGTCAGCATTTTTATTTCCACTATGGTGGTTCTGTTTCTGTCAATCTAGCTTCCTACCTGCCTCCCCCTCCTCCCTCCTCTTACTATTTCACCATTGGTCTGTAATAAATGTTGACTGTTACTTACATCTCATTTAAATGATGATTTAGAGTAGTATTGTATTTATAGGTATTATTTATGAGTGGCTCTGCCTTTTTTTGTTTGTGGGGGTTTTTCCCCAGTATTTTTATTTTATACAGATTTACTTGGAAAGTTTGTAAACATTGTTTTTCACACCAGATCTTTCCCACTTCCTTTATCCACTCCTCCTTCCACCCATAAAATTGTACAACCCGATGATTAACCCTCTCTCCACCCATCCTCACCCCTCTGCTCCTGCACCCTTGGTTCTGTCTTTTGACTGATGGGTTACTATTGGAAGGATTTGAGTTCCAAGTTCAAAGACTGTCTCAGGGCAGTAATCTCAGGGGTTCCTCTAGTCTCCATCAGTCCAATAATTCTAATTTTTTAAAAAGCAGTTTAAGTTTTGTTCTGCCTCCCCCTCCCTCCCCCCAATCTGTCTGGCACCATCAACTCTGCTCCTGGTTGGAACACTCAGAAGTGATAGCTGAACATGATCTAGTTCAAGATGGTTATGTTGACTCTTAGTCCTAGACATTAGTTTCTTCTTTGAGCCTTTGATTTCCTTCTTTGTTAATCCTGAGTCAGAGACGAGTAGTTGTATCTTAGTTTGTTGCTTACAAGCTTTTAAGATCCCGGATACTACTCGCCAAACTAGAAATAGAACATGATCTTTATGAACTGGGTTATAACCAAGTTGTCACCAAATACTATGATTCTAAGTCCTTAGACCCAATAACCAAATCTTGTAGTGTGTTTGGTTTTATAGTCATAAATATGCCTTCATGTCCATTATTCTATTTATGAATACTTACTTCTTTTAATCTGCTCTTAATAACTCCTCGGTCCATTCCCTAACTTGATTGTAGATTCTTGGTTATAATGAGTTTCAGCTTTCCCCCTCAGATCTCCCCAATGTTAAAGATAATATATAATATTAAAGTCTGTGCCAGTATTGACTATGCTTTTGTATAGGTGGATGAAGTATCTCGGCGTTTAATTTGGGAAAAAAACTTGAAGTATATTTCCATCCACAACCAGGAGGCCTCTCTTGGTGTCCATACATATGAGTTAGCCATGAACCACTTGGGGGACATGGTGAGTTGAACCCCAGCTCCTGGCCCACATTCCCATTTGCCTTTGCTTTCTGTATATGCCTGATCTCTCCTTTTTCTTTGTTGTAGACCAGTGAAGAAGTGGTTCAGAAGATGACAGGATTGAAAGTACCCCCCTCTAATTCCCGCAATAATGATACCCTCTATATCCCAGACTGGGAGGGCAAAGCCCCAGCCTCCATCGACTATAGGAAGAAGGGCTATGTGACTCCTGTCAAGAACCAGGTACCTTCCTTTCTTCTGGACAGGAATGTGTGATCGGACACGGCCTCTTTGTCTGCTTCATTATCTTTGAAATAAGAAGGCATCAGGAATTAAGAAACATTTTCCTGTGCTAAATGGATAGACTGATCCATTATTATCTATTTACAGACATTTAGGTGGTTTCTGATTTTCCATTATTACAAATGATACTGCAGCAATCACCTCTTTGCATATATTTTGTGCACATACCTCTCCAAAGTGCTGAAGAGCAGTGGTGTCTCTCTGGAGACTAAGGTGCGTCTGATACAGGCCATGGTCTTCGCAATCACCTGTTATGCATCAGAGAGCTGGACAATGACCAAGGAGGATAGAAGGAGAACTGATGCCTTTGAGCTGTGGTGCTGGAGAAGAGTACTGAGAATACCATGGACTGCTAGGAAAACAAATAGATTTGTCCTGGAGAGGGTTAAACCGGGTGGCTCCTTGGAGGCAAGGATTCTGAGGCTCCGTCTAACTTACTTTGGACATGTAGTGAGGAGAGACCGGTCCTTGGAGAGGGACATCATGCTTGGGAGGGTGGAGGGACGGCACAGGAGAGGAAGGCCCTCTATGAGGTGGATTGATTCAGTGACTGGGATAATTGGGATGGGAGTGTCAGAGACAGTGCGATTGGCACAGGACAGAGCGGAGTTTAGGGCTGTTGTACATAGGGTCGCTATGAGTCGCAGGCGACTCGACGGCACATAACAACAAACAACATATAAATATGTATGCAAAAGAAATCCTAAAATTGGAATGAATCAGTTACAAAGAATCCCTTCCAAAAATGTTTTTACGATCTTACACTCTTACCAAGTGACAGTGTCCCCAGAACTTTTAACAGTGTATTGAATGAGCAAGTTGACAATTTAAAATTCACTAAACAAACACTATTTTTATTCCCCAGAACCGCAGTGAGTGCTGAACTGAATCAAGCCCAGGGTCATGGAGTCTATTCCAATTACTAGTGTCCCGTTAGCACAAAGCAGAACTGCCCACAGGGTTTCCAAGGTTGTAAATCTTCATAGATTTTTGACTGCTGTGCTACCTAGACTCCTGGGACAGTGTTCATGTTCGCTCACTGCCTTCAACTCTAGTGTGACTCAGAGCATCTCTTTAGGACAGATTGGATATGTCCTATCAGGTTTCCAGAGCTGTAAATCTTAACAGGAGGCGACTGACTCATCTTTTTCCTATGGAACTGGTAGTGGTTGACCCACTATACTGTCAGGGCTCCTTGGTACAGTACTAGGCTGTACATTTTCAAGGTGGCAAATTCTTAATCTGGGTCTCGAAGAAAGCATATTATTCTGGAAAAAAAAAAAGGGAAAGGAACAGGGGTAGGGTGGAGGTGGAAATCTGTCTAGTTGAACAAAAAAGGAGGCTTAGTTGCACAGGGGGTTAAGAGTTGGGCTGCCAACTGAAATGTCATCAGTTCGAATCTACCAGCATCTCCTCAGAAGGAAGATACGTCAGTCTTCTCTGGTAAAGGTTTTCCTACAGAATCACTGTGGGTCAGAGATGAATGACTCCACAGCAGTGAGTTTTCTTTGGGGCTGAACAGAGAGTAACAGTAATTGCTGTGAGCATTTTAAACAGAATTATTGTGGGCTATTGTTGTACATAGGGTCGCTATGAGTCGCAGGCGACTCGACGGCACATAACAACAACAACAACAAGAACATTGTGGGCTAACAGATGATGATGATGATGATGGCTGGATATAATTTGAATGTCATTAACACCAGTGAGATATATGTTATTAACGTTGGAAAAAGAACTCTGTTGGACTACTCTGTAGGGAGTTGCACAGCTAGCCTAAGACGGCACCTCTCTGGCCGTTCAACTTCACCAGCGGCTCCAGGGGAGAAAGTTGGGCAGTCTTCTTCCATGCACTTTACAACCTCCAGAAACTCATGAAGGGTCAGCAATGCGTTGGCTGCAAGTCCATTTGAAACTGTACATTTCAATGACATTACATTCAGAATATGTAGCCATCACCACCATATGTTTTCAAAACATTTCTGCTACTCTAAACAGAAATTCTATTCCCGTTAAACAATAACTTTCCATTTTCTGCTGTCTTCAGTCCCTACCAACCTCTAATCTAGTTCTCAAGAATTCACCTACTCTGGATATTTACTCTTATGAAATGAATAAATGAATCAGACATTCATTCTTTTGGGTTTGACTTCTTTCACTTAGCATGTTTTCAGGGCTCATCCAAATTGTAACAAGTATCGATACTTCACTCCTTTTTAATGGTTGAATAATGTTCCATGAGAGCACACTATTGGCATAGTCCTTAGGGAGTTGCACTACTAACCCAAAGGCTGCCTACCTCTCTCTGATGGTTCAAATCCACCACTGCTCAGAGAGAGATGGCCAGTCTCCTCCCATGCAGTTTACAGCCTCTTAAAACCTGCTGTAGGGTTAGCCTTGAGTCAGTTCCAACTCTACAGCAGTGGAGAAGAAAAAGAGATGGTGTAGGCTGCTCACCACTAACCAAAAGATCAGTGGTTCAAATCCATCAGCCATTTCATAGAACAAAGGTAAGGTCATCTGTTTCTGTTATAATCTGCAGCATCAGAAACTTAATGACAGGTTTCCATGAATCAGAATCAATTTAATGGCGGTGGTTTTTGATTGGTTACATGAGTGGAATCTTAATTTTCCCACCAAGCTCATTAAGTATATTGTTGTTAAAATCCAAAGAAGTAAGTAACTTGCCCAAAGTGACTTTAACTAGCAGGTAACCCAGGCAAACTGACTCCAAAGCAGATAATCTGCTCTGGTATTCATTATTGCAGCTAACAGTAACAAAATCTCTAACAATTGTCAGTAGCAAAAGAACAGCAGTGAAATGCAATAGTTGTTGAATGAAGGGACATAGGAATATTTCACATCAAAGGTGATATTTGTGCTGGAATTTCTACTATGCATGGAATTTCATCAGGAAGGTAGATGGAAGATAGATAAAGTGAACAATCATGATTGTTAATGTCTTTGTTTCTCAGGGACAGTGTGGTTCCTGTTGGGCTTTCAGTTCTGTGGGTGCCCTGGAGGGCCAACTCAAGAAGAAAACTGGAAAACTCTTAAATCTGAGTCCCCAGAATCTGGTAGATTGTGTGTCTGAAAACGATGGTTGTGGAGGAGGCTATATGACCAATGCCTTTCAGTATGTGCAGAGGAACCGGGGCATTGACTCTGAAGATGCCTACCCATATGTGGGGCAGGTAAGACAGCCTTACCCAGTTAGACAGTTTGGTAATAGTTCCTCTTTTCCCAACACAATATTTTGTACTGGCAATAATTCCATAAATCTTGTTTCCCATTATCCTAATTTGATGGAAAATATCCCACAGAGTATCAAAGATTGCTGTAGACTGATAAAAATTTAGAGCATTTAGCCTGCCACAACACTTGTCTGCCTTTCTGGCCCTGCAGGAAAAAACAGCAGGCTGATTTTCCTTAGACCTCTGTAGATCTGTGTAACCCTCTGTTAGTATCTTAACTCCTCTACTTCCACTGCAGGCTCTCAGTCCCATCTTGCTGCTTTCATGAGCCATGTATCTTTATTTCATATAATTTCAGTGTGAGTTTGAGGGACTCATTAAGCAAATTAATACATTAACATGCTAATGTATAAAATGAGACAAAATCAAGTTGCGTCATATTTATTGTCATTTTAGAGATGACAAATCTGCTTACCTCTTTTTTTTGAAGATGATTTCTTGGTAAAATACATTTTTAATTGAGATTTTAATGAAAATTTATAGAGAACATGGATTTCCATTCATTAATTATTGTATATTTTCTGCCCTGCCCACCTCTCCCCCACAGTTTGCTTTTCTCTTTGGAAAAAAAAATTCTTTCATTGTTGTACAATACCCCCCCACCCCCCTCCGCCCAGCCCAGTCTACTACTATGCAGCTCTTATTCTGGACTGTTGTCATGCAAATAATACCTCATCATATATTCCTTTTAAACAGTTCACTCCCTCATTTGTTTCAACAATGTACATTATCTATCTCCTCTTTCTTAGTTTTCCCCCAACCCCAATGTCAGTCCTATTTGGAAGGCGATATGGGGCTTTCTCAGAAAGTTGGAAATAGAAATTCTATTTGACCCAGCAATTCCACTACTGGGAATATACCCTAAAGAAACAAGAACTGCTGCCCAAGCAGATATATACACTCCCATGTTTATTGCTGTGTTGTTCACAATAGCAAAGAGATGGAAACAACCCAAGTGCCCATCAACAAAGCAATAGATAGAGAAGCTGTGGTATATTCACAAAATGGAATACTATGTAACACTGAAAAACAAGGAACTCATAAAATATTATCCAAAATGGGTGACCCTGGAGAACATTATGCTGAGTGAAATATCTCAGTCACAAAAGGACAAATACTGCATAATGCCAGTGTTATAAAACAGGACTCACTTCCTTTTTTGTAGAAGTCTTCTTTAGAAATAGGATTGATAGGGAGCTCTGATGGCTTAGTGACAGGAAGGTGAACTGCAGTCCCAGAGGTGTGCAGTTCAAATCCACCAGATGCTCTGCTGGAGAAGAGGGGACAGTCTCCTCCTGTACTAGTCAGATCCGATTTGACAGTACACACACACACAAATAATAAAATAAAAAAAAAGAAGAAATAGGATTGAAATCTTTTTACCTAAAAAGGAAAATATCTGAGGAATTTTTATATACATGGGGCTGATAGGTAATCTAATATGGGTCCTTTGTGAGAGGAGTTTTGGGAGCAGGGATCACAAGTTACTACAGTTTGGATAATAAAATGACACTAATATATGCTAAGCCATGTGCTTAAATGCTTTTTCTGATTTAATCCTAACTACAATCTTATAAGATAGATTTATTTTCACTTTATATATGAGCATATTGACACTTAGAGAAGATAAAACAGTAGTATCGTTAGATCCACACTACTAATTAACTATCATAGTCAAGATTTATCTACCAAGTCTATTTATCTACTGTGATGTGTGTGTATTACATTTGGAGATATATATATATATACACATACACATACATATATATATATATATATCTCCTATGCATATACATTAAGAAATGCATCAGAGTTGTAACCTTTCTCTATACCGATTCAATCTGCATGTGGAATAAATAATCTGAGAAACTCCACTTGGTGACGAAGAATGTGGAATCAGGATCAGAAGAAGACTCATCAATAACCTGTGTTAGACAGGTGACACAAATTGCTGAATGTGAGGAAGACTTGAAGCACTTGCTGCAGAAGATTTAAAAATACAGCCTTCAATATGGATTATATCTCAACATCAAGAAGAAAAAAATTCTCACCACTGGACCCATAAGTAACATGATAAATGGAAAAAAGATTGAAATTGTCAACAATTTCATTTTACTTGGATCCACAACACCCTTGGTACCAGCAGTCAGGGGACATACTACATCAGAAAAGTATTCATTTAGAGACCATTCCAAATTAATGGGGACCAGAGATTTCGTTTTGAGGACTAAGGTACACCTGATTCAGGCCATGGTCTTTTCAATCACTTGCTATGCATCTGCGAGCTGGACAGAGAATAAGGATGATGGGAAAATAATGTATGCCGTAGAGATATGGTCTTGGAGAGGAATACGAAATATCCCATGGACTGCCAAAAGAACAAACAGATATGTGTGGAGAAAGTACAACCAGAGTGCTCCTTGAACATAAAGATGACAGAGCTTCAATCTCAAACTCTGGGGATGTTGCTAAGAGAGACTGCTTATTCTTAGACATCATGCTTAGAAAGGCAAAAGAGAGAGAAGAACCCTGGACAAGATGTAATGCCATAGTGAATGTAGCAATGGTTTTATGTGTGATAGAGGTTACAAGGATAGCCTAGGATAATACAGGGTTCAGATCTGCTGTTCATAGGGTCACTATGAGTCACACTCAACTTGATGACACCTAACAACAACCACCTATGCTTATATATCTGCCTTTCTTTACTAGAATATAATACCTTGAACAGAATGTCTGAATTTTTATGTATGTGCATGTTCACATCTGCTAAATAATTGCTTAAATATTTTTCTTTTTCTTCTTATTATTTTTTTGTGTGTGTACCGTCAAATTGGATCTGACTGATACAGGAGATTGTTCCTCCTTCTCCAACAGAGCTTCTGGTGGATTCAAACCATGCACCTCTGGGATTGCAGTGTAGCTTCTTGCCACTAGTCCACCAGAGCTCCCTAATTACTTAAATATGTTAATACTTTGTATGCTCTCCTAAGCATATAAGAAACCTCCTCTGTTCACATTTTCACCAATATGTTTATCTGGATTTTCATTTCTTCTTCAGTGAATTGACATATTTATGTTGCCCATTTTTAATTTGGTTGTTTTCTCTTTCTTATTTTGATAAGTTTAAAAAATATTTTTATATTGATTCTATGTGTGCTGTAGGTTGAGGTTTGCCTGTTGCCCTCTTTATAATCCTTTTGTCCAGGAAGGTTTTTTATTTTAATGCAATATAATGATTTTTCTTCCTTTGCAATTTATTGCCTTTTAGAAATTCCATAGCAGTGAATTTTAGTCATTCATATGAAATGATGCCTGATGTAATATAATACTCATTAGTGTAAATTACTAAATAAATCCATTTCAGTGAATACTCAGCAGCCTACATAGGAAATTCACTTCAATGCATCCTCATGGCAATGGCATAACAAAACAATATTTTGCAAATTTCACCCCATTTTTGTCCCTTGTTAGTGATTTTTTTTTAGTAGTTAGGCATGTAAGACAGAGAAAATGGAGGCTGCACCACTCTCTCATCACAAAAAACTTTCTTCAAAGAGTTCTGAGTATACAATTTTCAAAATAGTGAATACAAAAATTCATATTTGAACTCTGGGGCTCCTGCCTTGTACCAATTCTGTTTCTTCCAGGATGAAAGTTGCATGTACAACCCAACAGGCAAGGCAGCTAAATGCAGAGGCTACAGAGAAATCCCGGAAGGGAACGAGAAAGCCCTGAAGAGGGCCCTGGCCCGAGTGGGACCCATCTCTGTGGGTATTGATGCAAGCCTATCCTCTTTCCAGTTTTACAGCAAAGGTAAGGAGCTGTTCTCATAAAGCTTCATCTTTTATGATGTATACTGAATATTATCAGGACTTAGTGTTTCTATTCAGACTGAGCCTTCCAGAGAGAAAGGAGTTGCTAAAGCAACTAGCTGCCACCAGTGTTCTGATTGAGTCAGAAGTCTACAGAGGATCTTCTACAAGCAGGGACCACAGGGAACCTTTGAGTTCCAGAGAATCTTACCTTGATCGTTTGTTTTCTAGGTGTGTATTATGATGAAAACTGCAATGGTGATAATGTGAACCATGCTGTTTTGGCAGTGGGATATGGAATGCAGAAAGGAAAGAAACACTGGATAATTAAAAACAGGTAACTATAGAAACAATACTTTTGCTACTTAGTCAAACCCTTACCACTTAACCTTCCCTGAAACTCTCCTTTCCTCTCTCCCGATGCCAAAGAAAGTTCACAAAATGTTTCCGTTCCACATTTCACTTTGTTGTTGTTGTTGTTTACTGTTGAGTCGGAACCAATCCGTAGCTGACCCTCCAGCAGGTTTTCAGAGGCAGGTAATCACTGGGGAGGAGATGGCCCAGCATGTGTTGGACAGCTGCTGCACGCACAAGGGCTTCTGCTCAGTGCTTAGCCACATAGGCAATTGAATGCACAAGATTCCTGACCAAACATATCATAATAATGTGCTACCAAGAATGAGCGGAAACTTTGGAGTAAGATACTTCTTCTTTTTATCTTTTTATCTAATATGATAGTTTCTCATGGAAATCTCATCATCAAGCTCTTCTTAAGCAGTAGGAGAACAATGCCAAAATTTAATATCCTCTTGTGCAACTTTTTTCCCTTCTAGGTACACATAGCATAGGTATAGGAGCCTGCCCAAACTAAAATCTGTGAAATGATTTAGAAATTTTTAGAAACTTTTAGAAATTATTTAGGAACTTGGTTCTTCCTTGTTTGTCAACACCAGCCTGGAAGCAGCATTGATTACATTTTTTGCCCTTGGTGCCCACCAAATATTAAGAGTCCAGGCCTTTGGATAGTTCACAAATTAATGCAGTGATACCGAATGAGAGCTGCTAGCTAGAGAGCTAATAATGTAGAAGTTGAGGATAAGAATTGTTGATATGATGGTCCCATTTCAGGGTTGGCCTGAGTAGCCTTTATGAGAAGTACCTGCCTCACAACTCTGTCTAGAGTTTTCCCTTTCTTAACTTCCAGCCACACATACTTATTCCATCTTGTCCTGATTAGGTACCAAGGGTGGAGACAGTATCGAAGATAACTGGGAGGAAAAGGGGCAAATCCAGGTAGGATCTGGATCTTCGAGAGACCCTGCAGAAGGGTATCCAGGATAGAGACAAATGAAATGTATAGGTAATTAGAGAACTTACTTCTTGTGGATGGAATCATGAAAACAATTCAGGAAGAATATATAATTACCTTCTCTTTCTTCCTTTTTCACAATATTGTACTTCAGGATAGAACTTGAGATTAACTTTTTTACTATGAATGCAACACCTGTTTTCCATTCCTGCCATACTATACCATATCCGATTCATCTTATTCAAAATGGTCAAAGCTAATCCATCTCCTCTCACTAATGTCTGGTATGTTGATGTTCATGTATTCCACTTCATTTTTCACAACTTCTAGTTTTCAAATATTCAAGCTACATCCATGTTCAAATTATTAAATGATAATTTCAGTTCAAGTTATATCCTGAAATACAATGTTGTGATTGATAGTATATTATACGTAAGTATACAAGGAAATCCTGTTAATATGAGTATTATTCAAATATGTGCTCCTATATCAAGAGCCAAAGAAGAAGAAATTGAAAATTTTTAACAAATCTTGCAGTTTGAAGTGGACTGATGACATTTGTAGAAAAAGTTGTTGGAAAGCTCAATATCAGAAGTTAAAACTAGGCTCAGGGTGGGCTGTGAGTCACGCCATCAGTTACTCATGTGCAAGTTCAAATTGAGGCCAAAGAAAATGAAAATCAGTCCATGAGAACTAAAATATGATCTTGAGTCTATTCCATCTGAATTTCAAAATTATCATAATAATAGGTTTGAAGCATTGAACCCAATGATCGAAGACCAGATGAGCTGTGGGATGACATTGAGGATATCCATGAAGAAACCAAAAAGTCATTGCAAAGACAGAAGAGCAAGAAAAAACCAAAATGGATGTGAGAAGAGACTTTTAAAATTGCACTAGAGTATCCAGAAGCCAAAACAAAGGGAAAACATGGCGAAGTAAAAGAGCTGAACAGATGATTTTAAAAGGCACCTTGAAAGCAAAATATTTTAATAAAATGTGCAGAGAGTTTGAATTAGAGAATGCAAAGGGAAGAACTCTTAAGTTTTAAAGCTGAGAAATTAAAAATGTAAGCCTCAAGTCACAATATTGAAAGATGCTATGGGTGATATATTGAATGACCCAGAAAGCATCAAAAGAAGTTGGAGGGGATATACAGAACTCATTGTACCAAAAAGAACTGACTGACACTGAAAAATTTCAGGAAGTGCTATATGAGCAGGAGTCAATGGTTGAAGGAGGAAGTTGAAGCTGCCTTGAAGACATTGGCAAAAATAAGGCTTCAGGCATCAATGGGATAACAGTTGACTTGCATGCACTCACCAGTCTATCCCAGGAAATTTGGAGGACAGCTGTCTGGCCAGTGGATTGGAAGAGGTCCATATTTGTTCCCATTCCCAAGTAAGGTGCTCCAATAGAATGTGGAAACTATCAAACAATATAATTAATATCACGTGCAAACAAAATACTGCTGAACATCATTCAAAAACAGCTATAACAGTACAGGAATTGCCAGAAGTTCAAGCAGGATTTAGAAGAGGCCCTGGCACCAGGGATATCATTGATGATGTCAGATGGATCCTGGATGAAAGTAAATACCAGAATAATGTCTGTTTGTGCTTTATTGACTATGCAAAGACATTTGTGTGGATCATAACAAGTTATGGTTAACATTGAGTACAATGGAAATCCCAGAACATTCAATTGTGTTTAGATGAAATCTGTTCCTAGTCCAGTAGGCTGTTGTGTGAACAGAGCAAGGGTACACTACATGGTTTTAAATTAAGAAAGGAGTGTTTCTCCATTCCTATTCAATCTGTATGCTGAACAAATTATACGAGAAGCTGGACTGACTGTATGAAGAGGAATGTGGCATCAGGATTGGAGGGAGATTCATCAATAACCTGCGTAATGCAGATGACACAACCTTGTTTGCTGAAAGTAGGGAGGACTTGAAGCACTTTTTGTAAAAGATCAAGGAATACAGCCTCAATATGGATTGCATCTCAATGTCAAGAAAACAAAGATTCTTACCACTGGACTAATAGACAAAATCATGATAGATGGAGAAAAGATTGAAACTGTCAACAACTTCATCTTACTTGGATCCACAGTTAACACCGTTGGTACCACCAGTCAGGAAATCAGGAGATGTATTGCACTGGGAAAGTCTCTAGTTAGGGACCTCTCCAAATTATTGAGGAGTAATGTCAGTTTGAGGACATGGTCTGATTCAGGCCATGGTCTTTCCAGGCACATGCTTATGCATCTGAGAGCTGGACAGTGAATAAGGATGACAGAAGAATTGATGCCTTTGAGTTGTCATGTTGGAGAAGAGTGGCGAACATCCCATGGACAGCCAAAAGAACAAACGGATTTGTCTTGGAGAGGGTGCAACCAGAGTGCTCTTTGAAAGCAAAGGTGATAAGGCTTCATTTAATATACTTCGAGCATGTTGCTAAGAGGGACATTCCTTGGAGAGGGACATGATGCTTGAAAAGGTTGAGGGTTGGTGAGTGAGAGGGAGACCCTCCACCAGGTGGATTGAAATGGTGACTGCCTCATGGAGTCTATTGTGTAAAGAAGTATGAGGATGGCGCAGGAGAGGCCAGGATTCAGATCTGTTGTTCATAGGGTCATTATGGGTTGTACTCGATTTGACGACACCTAACAACAACTCCCTTTCAACACTTACTTTTGTTAGCAATCTCCTTTACTCGTAAGAGTGTCATTCATCTCTCCTACTTTCCTGCCTCTGTTGCTTATTTCATGCCTTTCCTCTTGTGTCCCATTTCCCCATGTTCGTATTTCATCTGTCAAGCTGTTACAGGAAGCCTTTTCTGATGTCCTTGATCAGAAGCTGTCTCTCCACCTTTGAGTACTATAGCATTATGTCCTCTCTCTGTGCCTTTAAACCTTTCCCCTCCCCCACTTTATTTTTCTTTTATATATTGGTTTGCATACATTTGTATACATAACTTTGGGTAACATTCATGTACACTGCATTTCACACATTTCCACAATCACTATTGGTCTATGCCCACTATTATCCATTGGATCTTTTCTAATTCTTTCATGCTTCCCCTATAAACTACTTAGAGGTAAAAATTACTTACTCATTTTTGTAGCTTACTGGTATCTAGCCCAATACTCCGTGTTTTCATGAATAAATGAACTTGGGAGTACTAAAAGTATTTTTCTCTGTTGATCCTACAGCTGGGGAGAAGAATGGGGAAACAAAGGCTATATTCTCATGGCCCGGAATAAGAACAACGCCTGTGGCATTGCCAACCTGGCCAGCTTCCCCAAGATGTGACGCCCATCATCCCTGCCCTGCCCTTCCATTCTTTCCATGATGGTGCATTGTACAGGTGTATTTTGAAAGGGAGTTAGTGTGCCTTTTCTCATGGAGGTGTATTCTGTTTCCCTATTCATGCTTCAGATACACTCCCCCACTTCTCTCTCAGCATCTTTCCTTGAGACCACTATGGCCAGAGCAGGAATTTCCCTGGCTGCTATGCATTCTTTGACTGAGAGGTGTGATCACAGCCTGCCCCACATGTGTTGTCCTCGGCTGATGCTGGTCATCTAAACAACTTTAGAGTGGACAGATTCTCATTGAGTGGGTCTCGTTAGCCCCAGATGACTAAAGGTAACATGATTTCTCAGTCGCTAAGTTCCATTTTTCTAATCATCAAAAATGTCTTGTGTTTTTTTACCCCAATTTATAAATCTCTTCATAAATGTTTGTTAGAAGTCTCCGTGATACTCGAAGTGTGTTTCTTTTTCCTTCTCTTGAATTTTTTTAAAATAAATATTTATCTCTTGTCTTCATTTTAATAAATTACTATTTAATTCACATTCATTTTGTGTCAGGTCCTCTGTAAGGTGCTGAGGCACAGGCTGAATAGAGCATTCCCTGTCCTTGTTGTCTCCTTTTGGTCAGAGATACTGTCACATTAAGCACTCATTCCAGTTCATTTATTCATTTCTTTAATCAAAATTTATTAAATATTTATACTTTACTAAGAATTTTCCTCACTTTCAGGGATCAGATGAACTTAACCCTGATTTTTGAAGAATACACAATCTAGGGGACTCGAGAGCAGGTCAAGGTCCACAGTTAAGATTTATACAAAGTGCTATGAGAATGTAGAGGTGGAAGGACCTAACTTCAGGGAGAAATTGATAATGATAAAGAGTACTATTAAGTATAAAACTGATGGTAAAACAGAGAAATATTTTTGTGGCTGCCTTTAGGGAGATCTTTAAAAATATCCAAATGTACTTTTTAGTAAGGAAATCAAAGACCCAATTGGATTAGGAAAGTCAGCTGTCAGTGGCCTCTCCAGAGTGCTGAAATGCAAAGATGTCAATCTAGAGACTAAGGTGCACCAGATCCAGGCTATGGTCTTTGCAATTACTTGCTATTCATCAGAGAACTGGACAATGAATAAGGATGACAGAAAACTAATTGATGCCTTTGAGTTATGGTGCTGGAGAAGAGTATTGAACATGCCATGGACTGCCAAGTGAACAAATAGGTCTGTCCTGGAGAGGATGAAACTACGTTGCTCTGTGGAGGCTAGGATTTTGAAGCTCCATTTCACATACTTTGGACATGTTGCTAGGAGGGACCAGTCTTTACAGAAGGACATCATGCTTGGAAGGCTGGAGGTACAGTGAAGGAGGGGAAGACCTTGCATGGGATGGACTGACACAGTGACTGGGGTAATAGATGGAGGTGTGTTGGAGACAGGAGATTAGACGGGATAGGACAGGGTTCAGAGCTATTGTACATATAGGGTCACTATGAGTCGCAGGCTACTCGGCGGCACATAACAACAACAGCAATGTAACGTATTTTCTGAAGTTCTACAACTTAAAAGTTCATTGTCTCCAAAAGTAGAAATTGTAAATTTTTTCTACTAATGAGTTTCAATGAGTCTTTTAAATTTTTTTATTTTATTCTGTTGAGAATATATACAATAAAACATAAACTAATTCAGCTGGTTCTACATGTACAGTTTAGTGACATTGGTTTTATTTTCTGTGTTGTGCAAGCATTTCACCTTCATTTTCTGAGTTGTTTCTCCCTTACACAAACTCACTACTTCCAGCAGTTCCTGTGTACTTCCTCCAGTTACTGTTGTCAGCATGATTCCATATTGATGAATATTAAAAGAGCAGAAGCTTAAGGTGAACAATCTTTACTAGTTGAACTAAATTATTACTTGGTTTCAAAAAGGCTTCAGGGGATATTCTGGCTTAAGGTTAAAGAGTATTTCAGGGAAATAATTTCAGGAAGTTCATCCAAATTCCATGACTCTGGAAAGTCCAAAGTCCATGAGAATCTGACATTCTGTTATGCATTTCTCCCTTTCTAGCAAGTTTTGATTTGAAAAGAACTGCTGGCTAATAATCAGCATGTTTGTTTCGCTATTTTCCCCAAGTATTTATGGAGTGCCAGTGATTACCACTGCTGCAAAGAGTTCACATTTATTTAATGCTTACTTTTTTTGTTTGTTTGTTTTGGGGTTTTTTTCTTTTTTTATTAATGATTTTTTAATATAACATATTTTTTTACAGTATATTCTTTCCATTTAATATTTCCCCCATTCATTCATTGTTGCACATTTTCCTCCCTGCCCACACCTCCCCCCAGTTCGTTTTTCTCTTTGGAGAAAAACAAAATATTCTTTGTTATACAGTCCCCCCCCCAGTGCACAGTCCACTTAAATATGCATTTCTTTTTCTGTAGTCTTGGCATGAAAATAATACCTAATCCTATATTCCTTTTTTTTAACCCTCTTTTCACCTTTATTTTTTTTAAGATTTATTATTATATTATTCATTTTTAATGAAAGTTTACAGATACTTTGGATTTCTATTTTTTCCTTGTTGCACTTTCCTCCCTGCCCACCCCTCCCCCCAGTTCCTGCTTCTCTTTGAAAAGTAAAAGAAAAATTCTTTCATTGTTATACAGTCCCTTCCCCCAAGTCCATTCCTCTATTGCAGCCTTCTTTCTGGACTCCTGTCATGACAATAATACCTAATCATACATCCCTTTTAAACAGTTCTCTCCCTCATCTGTTTCAATGCAGTATACATAATTTATCACCTTTTTCTCAGTCTCCCCGACCCCGATGTCATTCTCGTTTTACAGCAGTGGCACTATGGAGTATTTGTTCTTTTGTGACTGAGATATTTCACTCAGCATAATGTCCTCCAGGGTCACCCATTTTCTATAATATTTCATGACTTCTTTGTTTTTCAACGCAGCATAGTATTCCACTGTGTGAATATACCAGAGCTTCTCTATCCAGTCGTTTGTTGATGGGCACTTAGGTTGTTTCTAACTCTTTGCTATTGTGAACAAAGTCACAATAAACATAGGTGTGCATATATCTGCTTGGGTGGCAGTTCTGGTTTCTTTGGGGGGTATATTCCCAGTAGTGGAATTGCTGGGTCAAATGGTATTTCTATTTGCAACTTTTTTTTAAAAAAATTTATTATTCTGTGTGTGTGCATATAACCATCAAATCACATCTGACTGGTACAGGAGGAGATTAACCTTCCTTCTTCAGCAGAGCATCTGGTGTATTCAAACCACATTCCTCTGGGATTGTAGTGCAGCTTCTTGCCAGTAGGCCACCAGAGCTCCCTTATTTGCAACTTTTAAAGAAAGCATCATACTGCCTTCCATCGTGATTGCGCCATTTTATACTCCCACCAACAGTGAATAAGGGTTCCAATTTCTCCACAACCTCGCCAGCATTTGTTCTTTGCTGTTCTGTTAAATTTTGCTGTTCTTACTGGGATGAGATGATATCTCATAGTTGTTTTGATTTGCATCTCTCTTAGAGCTAGGGGTTTTGAACATTTCTTCCTGTGTTTGTGTGCCATCTGAATGTCTTCTTTGGTGAAGTGTCTGTTCATATCCTGTGCCCATTTTTCAAATGGGTTGTTTATCTTCTTGTAGTGCTTGAGTATTTTATAAATCCTAGATGTAAGTCCCTTATCTGACTTGTCATACCAAATATTTTTTCCCAGTCTGGCTTCCCTTTTTACCCTGTTGGAGAAATTTTTGGATGTGCTTAGGGATTTGATTCTTAGAAGGTCCCGTTCATCTATTTTATCCTCTCCTGGTTGTAGATTTTTCAGGATGCTTGGAAGACTGTTTATGTTGTGGATTAGGACTTCTAGAGTTATTCCAAGCTTTTCTTTAATGAAGTTTATAGCCCTTGGTTTTAGTCCTAGGTCCATGATCCACATCCACTTTGAGTTGGGTTTTGTGTAAGGAGTGAGGTGTGGATCTTGCTTGAGCTTTCTGCAGATAGCTTATTTTCCAGTTTTGCCAACATCATTTGTTAAAAAGGCTCTCGTTTCCTTACTTAACTGATTTTATCTCCTTGTAAAAAATCAGTTGACCATAGGTTGATGGGCTGATTTCTGGATTCTCTGTCTGTCATTGTACCAGTACTACTCTGTCTTTGACCACCACGGCAGTATAGTAGGATTTGAAATCAGGGAGTAAGATACCTCCTACCTTATTTCCCTTCTTAAGGAGTTTTTGCTTATTCAGGGCCTCTTTGCGTTCCAAATGAAACTAAAGATTGCCTTTTCGATCTTGTTGAAGAATGGGATTAGTATTTGTATTGGGATTGCATTGAACATGTAAATTACCTTTGGTAGTATTGTCCTTTTCACAATATTGAGTCTTCCAACCAAGCGCAAGGAACATTTTTACATTTCTCCAGGTCTCTTTTTGTTTCTTGTAGTTATGTTTTATAATTTTCTTTAAATAGATCCTTTGTACTTCTGGTTAGATTTACTCCCAAGAATTTAATCTTGTGATTAGCTATTGTGAAGGGTATTGTTTTTCATAGCTCCAGCTCTGTACTTTCTTTGTCACTGTAGAGAAATCCAACTGATTTTTGTATGTTGATCTTTTAAGTATTTCTGTCCCTCATCTGTTTCCATGCAGTATACATTACTTATCCCCTCTTTTCTTAGGTTCCCACCAACCCTGATGTCAGTCTCATTTTACAACAGTGGCACTATGCAATATTTGTCCTTTTGTGACTGAGATATTTCATTTAGCATGATGTTCTCCACGGTCACCCATTTTGTATAATATTTCAGGAATTCTTTGTTTTTCAATGCAGCATAGTATTCCATTGTGAATATACCAGAGCTTCTCTATCCATTCATTTGTTGATGGGCACTTAGGTTGTTTCTAACTTATTGCTGTTGTGAATAAGGCCGCAGTAAACATGGGTGTACATATATCTGCTTGGGTGGAAGTTCTGGTTT